TACATCTACTGTGGTGCAATATAAACAATACAGAAAAATCTTTACTCATTGACATTGACCGCCACGTGGTATATACACAGTCAGATCCCTCAAAACTACCGTTTATCTAACCACATGCAGCACAGACACATACACGCCTGCCTTGAAATGCACTTGTTTATGATCAAAACCTCACATGCACTGCCAAAATCTATCTTCTATTATAACAACAACAAAAAACGCATGAATACGTACACATATATGACTATATTACCATCTAGACTACAGGTAATTATGTTGTAAATAATGTTCAGTTTCTTTCACAGACCAACTGTTTCGCATCATAAGACCTCAATATATCGTCAGGAGTAGAGATGCTCCGATTGCAATTGATTCCGATTATTCCGATTTCTTGTTAGTGTGATCTGCCGATACCGATTTTTGCAGATTCCGATTTTCTTTATAATTGACACAGCATATACAACTCAAAAATCTATTTTTTTTTCAATGCAAAAAATGTAATAAAATAAATAATTAAACATCCAATCTGGACTAAGTTACAGATGTTCTCTCACTTAAACAACTCTCAAAATAAAGTGCCCTGTGACTGGAAAAACGTAGAAATAACAATTACCTGAAAATGAGTTGCTGCATATAACAAAACAGATGTCATTTTTCAGGTTAAGTAAGTTTTTATTCAGTTAAGAAAGAAATTAAAAATTAAAGTAATCAAATGTAAAATAACACTGGATGTGTTATTTTACATTTGATTACTTTGTAGTCTTCATTTGTCTTTTGGTCTTTGATTAACATGCCAGACAGCAGTAGGAATATTGGACTGCGGTCCCTTTAAGAGTTTATCCACGGACCCAATATACTGTTATACAACATACGTTCTCTTTCTCAACTATTTAACATTCCAAAACTGACTGTGTTTAACTGGATACTCGCTAAAACGGACATTTTGACATAATTTTCTATGTATTTGAACGTTTTAGCGCAGTTAGCCACTCATTTTGGTATTTGTGACTCACAAGCTGTTTGAGACTAAGCGCGGATTGTGCGCTCCACTAATATAGATCAGTTGTGTTGCGTGCGCATTTGGTATAAGCGCGAAACCTGCAGGAATGACTATAATGCGCAATACAAGCACTATTTAACCGGAGCGAATGAGACGTGTGTGAGAGAGAAGGGGTCATTGGAGAGATGAGAGTGAGAATGCCGCGGCTGATGTTATTGCCTGTGCCGCTGGTAACGAAACCTATCGGCTCGAAATTGGAAAGAAGTGAGACTGACCGACCAATCACCGATCCGGGCCGATCATGAGGAAAATCGGCCGATTCCGATCCCTGGCCGATAGATCGGTGCATCTCTAGTTAGGAGCCACGGGTATTAAATTTGTCTTGCGTGTATATGCTTTTTTTTCTCAATGTTATGAATCACAAAGGATACAGGTTTAAAAAAAAAAAAAAAAAAACTTCTTTACTGTTCTACTGAAGAAAAAAAAGTCACCTAGTCACCTGAAGGTGAGTAAATTAACAGCAAATTTTTATTTTTAGGTGAACTATTCCTTTAACTGATATTTCTGAGACCAAGCTAGCTGAAAGACACTATGTCGAATTACTAAAAAATGTATAAGAGCATAAAACAGCAACAAAGCAAGAAGCACTTTAACAGTCAGAGAATCGAGCTGCAGAAAATGGCTTCTGCAACAAAATAATCCCACCGAACTGTTTGTTCATTATCATATCTTGGTGAACCGGGTGGTGACAGAGAGCTGCTGCCGGGTTTGAGGCTTCAGATACAGTGCTTAAGACAGGCAGTGGAGAGATCTGACCTGCTTGGCTGAAGAAAGCCTCGGGAGTTCATGTGGAAATGTGTTTGTTTGTGCATCACTGACCTCTTTAGGTTGAGAAGAGCCCAAGGGACACCAGTAGGGGTCTTAAAAGCCGGCAACAGCTTCTCTCCTAGTTCAACAGCTTTTCTCCTGAACACCTGAAGTAAAAGAAAGACAGACAGACACACAAGTTAGTCTAACCTCATCCGCACACAGAGGCAGCAGAGCCGTGTAACCTCTGGCTGCCCCTGCCTTCCCATAAACTCACCATATTTATTTTATCAGTCATATTTGCATGATACACAGAGTCGGCTGACAGAAAGAGAAGCATTGATATTCTGCCGAGGGCAGTATCCGGAAGACGGCTGATAAGAGCAGATAAGATGAGGGCACGCGGCCCGCTGTAAACCTGCTGCCTGCCTGTCATCTTCTGTCGGCTACCTGGTTCATACCTGGTTCATTCCGCTCCTCTGACAAGTCAAACCATCAGGGAGCTGCTACCAATCCCTCGACCGGCAAATATGCTGCATATCTGCCGGCTGCTGAGATGATATTGCACTGAGCCGAAGCGGACTAATCTGGCTTTAGCCGTTTTATCCAGAAACATGATTTTTGTTTAAGTGATACTTAAAGGGGCCATATTCAACACTTGTGTTTAATTGTTTAAATAAAAATAAATACATCATTAACTCCACATTTCAAAGGTTTGGGAGCAGTAAGATTTATTTTTGAAAGTGGTTAATACTTTTATTCAGCATGAACGCATTAAACTGATTGAAAGTAACAGTAAAGACATTTATAATGTTACAAAAAAAAATCTGTTTCAAATAAATACTGTTCTTTTGATCTGTCTATTCATCAAAAAATCCTAAACTAATCCTAAAACTTTTTTTCAACATTGATAATAATAATAAAAATGTCTTAAGCAGCAAATCAGCATATTAGAATGATTTCTGAAGGATCATGTGACACTGAAGACTGGAATAACAGCTGCAGAAAATTCAGCTTTGCATCACAGGAATACATTACATTTTAACATGTATTCAAATAGAAACTTTTATATAATCTTTCATAATATTACTGTTTATACTGTATGTTTGATCAAATATATACATACATACATACATACATACATACATATACACATACATATACATATGTATATATACACATACACACATACATATACATATATATATATATATATACATATATACATATTTGCTGCCACCTGCTGGCGGTTTTAATTTCAAATTTCGGCTTTTTCTTTTTTTTTAATAGATTTTTTTCATGTTTTAAATCATTTCAAATATCAGTATTCAACATTTTATGTTTAATATATCAAAACATTATTTATGCATTTGTAATTGCAGGTTAAATGCATTCATGTCTTGCATTAAACAAAATACATGTGTGTAAATACATCTAAATGCCACTTCAGATGCAGCTTCTGTGTTGATTTAATTTGCTTGGTAACAGCCCAATTGTCTTATTATTCTAATTCCCTGATTAAATGTAAGAATTTGACTCAAAAGATAATGGACACTTCTAGAAAAAATGGCTTTATAAAGGTAAAAATGCCCATAAAATGTAAAAATCTGTTTAAACTTATTGGAAAAGATTAATTTCTATCAGTATGAACTGACCACCACACAGAATATGAAGAATATTAAAAACATTATGAGTCAGCTGTCTTCGGCAGTCCTTAAGGTACCAGCACAATAACACACTCAGCAAAATATCGTCTAATTATCGTCATCGATAAAATCCCAGAAAATATCGAGATATTATTTTTTGTCAATATCGCACACCCCTAATAACAACATATTTGTGTCTAAACATATATACATTTTAAGCTTAGCATATAAAAAATTCTTACCAATATGTATGAGTCTCACAAATAATTCACATTTCAATAAAACCTTTGATGAAATGTTAACAAGATAATGAACATATATTTAAATTAGCACAAATCTGTCATAATAAACCAAAAATTTTGATTTGTCATCAAAACACAAGTTTATGACAAATAAAAAAAAACATAAGATACAGTCACAACACATCACTAATCCACATATTTAGATCCACTTGTAAATATCAGCCCAGGATTCCTGCCTCAAAAAGTATGTTTTGCATCCTTTTCGACTCTTCCTGACAGGCAGTTTCTGCGACTGCTCCTTTGTGTCTTTAATATTTAAATGAACAGCTTTCTACAATATGTCCCAATTCAGCAAATATTGATGATATATGATATTTGTAGTGCAAAGTTTAGCTCTTCTTCATCTTTGAAGGGTTATTTTGGCGAAGGAGGTGCAGAGATCTGAATGCAGATCTGTGTCAGAGAGCCGAATTTACTCATCCCTCTTGTAATTCATCCTGTGAGTCAGAGAGCCCACAAAGCAAAGGTCCCCTGAGCAAAGCCAGATCGCTGCGTGAGAGCCTTTCAAAACACCAGAGAGGGAGAAATCAAACTGCAATCCAATGACTTCTCCAAATTTACAAGGGAATAAAAGCACTGCACTAGTGTGCAGCAGTAAAACAATAATAATCAACTGGGATTAAATGATGGGAAATCAGAGAAATGATGGATCATCCCAATTGTAATATTGAAGAGTCAGTATCATCTAAACACCCAACTGATCATAATTCGCGCTGTGC